CGTCTGCTAGCCGGGTTTCAGAGAGGGCGGCTAGGTCAATCCGATATTTTCTCAGTTCTCTAGCAATGATTGCAGTTCTCCTCTCCAGTCTATCAATGGTTGCACTATCCATCAATGTGCGCACATTCCAGGCTCCAAAGTTCATAATTTTGTGTTTCTGACCGCAAATGATGATCCCTCTGGACCCGGTAATCCAGTCAGGAGGTTTGAGGCAGGCTATTTTTAGGGCACCTTTTCTAGCCCCTTCCCCACATGGGGTGAGCAGAGTGAATCCTAAAGAGGGTTGCTCAGCCTTGGGTGCAGCTGCCGAAGGACTCTTTCTGCCTCGTTCCAAGAGCCGAGCGACTGAGTCTAGCACTCACCGCCTAATGCGCCAATTTATGACTAGGGGCTTCCAGATCTCACAATCCTGCCCCCGTCGCTACACTCTCTGGTCGCTATAGGACTTTAACCAGGATGTTAAGGTGGTTTCCCAAGGACGACGCCTGTGCGTGATTTTGTTTAACGTGGGGAGACTGGTGCACAGACAGTCACCACACGGTCCTTGACAGAAATGGATCAGAATCCAGTGGCATGGAGTCCAAGACGACTGGGGGCCCTTTTCTGCTGCAGCCTTCATCCGCCTTCACAGCAGTTGTGATGCTCCTGTAAGGCTAGCCATCATCCTCCGCCTGCACTGCCGTTGAGGTCTTCGTTGGATTGCTCTTTGCCAGGGAACCTCCCTCTTGACCTTACCACCATGGGTATATATTACCAGCATAGCTCCAGACGGCATTGCTCTTGGGATCACAGGTCCACGCAAGCCTCTCCACCACGACAAGGTGGCAATCCCCCGGAAAGGACTGAATACAGTACAGTTGTACTGATTGTACTACCGTCAAATGAGCTTCATAGTTTCGTGGTCTGGATTAATGTTAATTCATGTTTATTTGCTTGTCATTTTACTTGTAAAATTACAGTTAACATGTAGTAGTGTTGTAGACCTGGGATTCTCCTGGAATTCTTTTTACATCTCTGTATATTAATGATGATGCTACACAACACTCAGTGGCATGAGAAAATCAGTAATTCCATTAACTAATTCTTGACTTGCATGAAAGGAAAGGGAATGGTGTACTTACAACACTTATGGCTGGTCAGCATCTGGAGACACTAAACATCTTAGTAAAATGTGATTTTAATATCTGATCATTACATGTGTTATTTACATGTGAAGTGACTTGTGGCCAAGTATGGTGACCCATACTCAGAATTTGTGCTCTGCATTTAACCCATCTAAGTGCACACACACAGTAGTGAACACACACACCCAGAGCAGTGGGCAGCCATTTTAGCTGCGGCGCCCGGGGAGCAGTTGGGGGATCGGTGCTTTGCTCAAGGGTCTCCCTCTATTGAGGGTGGCAGAGAGCGCTGTCATTTACTCCCCCCACCTACAATCCCTGCCAGACCCGAGACTCAAACCCACAACCTTCAGATTCACCTTCGGGTTACAAGGCCGACTCTCGGACCATTAGGCCACAACTGCCCCTGAATAGTTTTAAATTTAAAACTTTAAAACTTAAAAAATTTAAAGAGCAAGAAATGCATGAATGAATTAAACAATACAAAATACAGAAACAGAATATAGTTGTATAGAATGAATGTCTATTATAAAGCAAAGCAAGACTGTAATGGGCAATAGTGTACAAGTCCCTCCATTAGTTTTAGAATAGTAGGGAAGATAGTAAGGACGAGACTGGGAGGTGCTGGGTATGGAAACTTTGTGACTAAACGAGAGATGGAATTTATACATAGATAACTAGGAAGAAGGCGAAGCTTCATATCTGATCTTCCACCCAAATTTGTGTCATTTCATACCTCCATCTGCTGTCAGTATGAGGTATGTGATTACCATACAAGTGTTATGATGTCAGTTAGTAAGTAAGCTGCCCGAGTTGGTGTTGCTGAAAAAAAATAAAATAAATAAATAATATATATATATATATAGGTGTAGTGTAGGCACCAAAAACACTTTTTCCTTCATAAGGATATTTCAAACTTTATGGAACATACAGTCATATGCCAGCATTTATTAGAGGGTCCCATGGCTAACCAGCTGAAACATACAATTTAACATAAACATACTAGCATTAACTTACTTGTTACTCCATTAAGTAAGGAATAAACCTGCTTAAACGTACGTACTGTTATAGCAAAATAATTCATGATGGGGTGGTGTGATGCAGCCTGATGCAAAGCAGATTTCCCATGTTGGAAAACTTACTGACTGTTAAAAAGCGCTGACACTCAAGACTGCTTCCATAAATGATAAATAAATGTCTCCTTACAAAAACTTTCACCATATCAATGAGAATATGGTTTTCTTTGTTATGTAATAAAATGTTTTATCCATTTATTATTACAGCAAGCACTACTGTTAGAGAAAATTAATCATCACCTTTTGACTAATCAGATTTGGGAATTCAACAGTGCTGTGGTATAAAAACAACTTTATGTCAAATTAGCTTATATTTATATAGCTTCAATAAAAAAAAAAAAAGCTTCAAAACATTTTCACTTTAACTGACTGACTTGAAAGAATTTTTTTTATTTTTCTGACCAAGATTCAAATCAACACTTAATTTGCACAAGTTGCACTTTGTGACCAAGACCAAGACTACTGCATCCACTGTTACTATATTGCATTAAAACAGGAAATATAAAAACTATGTTTCAAATGTAATTTTATTCCTATTGTTGCACAATATCCAGAACAATGTTGCATAAATACCTTGCACAAGTCTACACAGTCTCTGTGTAGGATTATGTTAAATATGACCATGACAACTATTTATTGTTGTTATTTAACATTGTTGTTATTTTATTTATTATTATTTAGATTTTATTTAAAATCTACTGCAGCATGAATGAATGAATTAAACAATACAAAATACAGAAACAGAATATAGTTGTATAGAATGAATGTCTATTATAAAGCAAAGCAAGACTGTAATGGGCAATAGTGTACAAGTCCCTCCATTAGTTTTAGAATAGTAGGGAAGATAGTAAGGACGAGACTGGGAGGTGCTGGGTATGGAAACTTTGTGACTAAACGAGAGATGGAATTTATACATAGATAACTAGGAAGAAGGCGGAGCTTCATATCTGATCTTCCACCCAAATTTGTGTCATTTCAGACCTCCAGTATGAGGTATGTGATTACCAAACAAGTGTTATGACGTCAGTTAGTAAGTAAGCTGCCCGAGTTGGTGTTGCTAAAAACACTTTAATGGTAGTTTATATATATATATATATATAAATTCTACTGCAGCATGCATAGCATTGCCACCTTGCAGCTCCAGGGTACGGGGTTCGATCCTGAGCTCGGCTTAATGTGTGTGTGGAGTTTTACCAGTTCTCCCTATGATCGTGTGGGTTTCCTCTGGGTTCTCTGGGTTTCCTCCCACTATACAAAAGCACACGTGCAGGTGGACTGGTTAAGCTAAATTGCACATAGATGTGAATGAGTGTGTGAATATGTGTGCATGGTGTCCTGTGTTATTTGGAGCCAGTGGACTGCTGTTCTCACACCTTGCGCTCAGTGTTGCCAGGATGGGTTCTGGATCCACCGCAACCCTGACCAGGATAAGGTGCTTCCTTAAAATGAATGAAGGAATGAAGAAAGCTTGTGCATATGACAGTAAAGTTCTTGAATTGTCTACCTTGCTGAAAAAGCCAGCATTATCTGATCAGCTGGTACATCATGCTGACCAACTGGTAGCTTATTTTTCTAACCTCTTTATTATTTGACTAAATGGATCAATCCATGTTTGAGATTTTATACCTATTGTGTTATTTTTGTAGTGAAAGTTGCATGCAAGAAAATTTCCTTAAAAACAGCTTGTCTGTGATGTTGCTTTAGTAAATGCAGTTCATAAACATGGTGTCCAAAATGGAGCTCTATTCCCTGTACAGAGTAAAAGTGCATTCCTCACGTGCAGGAGTGTGTTATTTGGAGCCTAAGATGCACATTGTGGCATTTCACACGCCCACTGCATTTTCTTCACTGTGACTACAAAATGGCAAATCTCTAAAAATAGTGCACTACCTAGTGCACAGGGAGTGGACATCCTGACTTCCGGTGAACATGCAGTGAACAAGAGTATTTTTTTTTAGGGAAAAGGCACTTTTTGTACACGTTTTCTGAAAAACTTCCTCATTGAAAGCAGCCAGCTGATTGGACAATGTGAACAGTAAGTAATATTCCTGACCAATCAGAGCGTAGCAGGCGGGATTTGTTAATAAAAAAAAATACGAGCGGGGAAAGAAAATATGGCGGTGAGGCGCAAATCGCCCTACTACCAGTGTTGCCAGATCCGCAGATTTCACGTTCATTTGGCTAAGGATAGGTTGTGTGCATTATGCATCCATCTGATTAAAAAAGTGTAAATCACTTTAAAGATTAGAATGAAATAATCTATAATAGGTTATGCAAATGCAAAAATTAACTAAACATAAACTTTTGATCTTAATTTCAGCATTAGCTCTGTAGTGTATGAGTGAGGCTAAAATCTATCAATAATTCAGCAAAGAGTCGAATCCCTTTCTCAATGCAATCAAACCACACCAGAGTTCGCTTAGAGGTGCACCGAGACCACACACCAGGCTGTGAAAATGTAAACGCACCCACGTCTAGTGAGCAATCCCATACAGAACAGGGTCCTAACCCTCGAGTCATCCTCATACTCATCCTCGAGTACCCAGTCCTGTCCTGCACACAGAGAACTGTACTGTTTTCTCTAACTCTGAGACACATGATTCAAATGATTAGCTAATTAACAGTCCTTTCTGAGTTTAAATGTAGCAGGACCATGGGTTCTTCAAGACTAAGAACCACAGGACCAGGTTTGGCAAAAGTTGCTGTGCAGTGGTGTACTTTCATAAATTTCTTGTTATGTTCTTAGATATTCAGACTGACTCCTATGAATTTACATGTGTTATACTAGCACATATAATGTGGGTCCCTGGAGGACTAGTGGTTAGGCCACAGCACTCTTGCCACTGCAGCCCGGGTTCAGTTCCCAGCCAGAGAACCAACCTCAGACACTGGGGCTGCGTGCAACAGTGCAGTCTCAGTGCCTGTCCCAAGCCTGGATAAAACTGGGGAGGGTTGCGTCAGGAAGGGCATGCGCCAAATCAAATATGCAGACCAGTGATCCACTGTGGCGACCCCTAATGGGAAGAGCTGGAAGAGGAACAACAACAACATTCTAGCACATATAAAATACACTATATGGCAAAAAGTATCTTTGACACTTGAACATGCCATTCCCACATGAGTTGTTCCTCCTTTGCTGTTATAATGACCTCCACTCTTCTGGGAAGGCTTTCCGCTAGATTTTAGATCCTACACAGGGTCGCGGGGAGCCTGGAGCCTATCCCTGGGGACTCGGGGCACAAGGCGGGGGACAAATCATCGACCCATTGCAGGGCACAATCACACTCACACACTACAGACAATTTAGAGATGCCAATCAGCCTACAACTCATGTCTTTGGACTGGGGAGAAAACTGGAGTACCTGGAGGAAGCCCCCCACAGCATGGGGACAGTATGCAAACTCCACACACGCAGGGTGGAGGCAGGAATCGAACCCCCAGCCCCGGGGGTGCTAACCATTAAGCCACCACTCCCCCCATCTCTTAGCTCCAGTGAACGGATATTAGGGCCTTTCGCACCGCTTTAGTTTCAGAGCTAATTTACAGTACTAAAGTACTGGGCGATTTTGTGCGAACTATTTCCCAGTACCTTTTAAAGGGTTGCATTCGCACCGACAGTGGGCACTAGGAAGTGACGTAAGCCAGTCGACAGTGACGTCATTTGTGCGCGGCGTTCAACAGCGGAAACAAAGAAGAACAACGTAAACAACCGGAGGATGGAGGAGGCTGTGATCGGAGCTGTGTTGGACTTCAGCGTCTGTCCATCTATCGCTGTTCTCCATACTTGCGGAATAAGTTGACACTACAGTATGTTTACACTGCGTTTTAAATCATGACGGGTGACAGCGTTTTTGTACGCGTTTGGCCAATCAACGTCTACTTACGTCACGGATAGTACCAGTTGTGCTGGTTAGACCCTGCTCCGTAGTAGGAGCTAATTTGGTTCTCGAAAAAGGCGGTCTGGTACTAAAATCGCACCCAGTTCCGGAGGTGCGAAAACGTCAAAAAGTGGGTAGTTCCACAATTAGTTCAGGTACTATGAAAAGGTTCCCGCGGTGCGAAAGGCCCTGTTGTAAATCTACAGCATACGAAGACACCGTAGATCTTCGTGTGCTTCAAACTTTGTGGCGAGAATTTGGGGAACAACCACATATGGGTGTGATGGTCAGGCGTTCACACACTTTTGGATATATAGTGTATGTGCTGAGAGAAAAAAAAAAAAAAAAAAAAAAAATATATATATATATATATATATATATATATATATTTGTTCTGTTGTAAAGATTTAGCAAGTTTTTATTTTGGGGGTGAAGGATTTCTGTCGCCCATCTGGCAACCCTGCTCCTACTACAGTGTAGTGAAGAGAAGATTAAAGCTCACTGTAAATCAGTGACAGCGGGTAAAAACAGGGGATAATACATCACCTGAAGGGATTATAATACATTATAGTGTATAGAGGGTTTTTTTTTTTTAACTACAGTTTTAACATCATCAGGAGGGGTTTCATTGTGCATTTCTGCAGCATTAAAGCCGGACAGGAGGGTAAATTGTTGACGATGGGAAACGCCGCGGCCGCTAAGAAAGGCAACGAGCTGGAGAGTGGTAACGTCCATTAACTCCATCCTGTGTATTTATTCTCGTAATAATCACAGCTGTTTATTTAATTCACCTTATATGAGTGAATGCACACTTTCACTCATCTGTGCCTTTCTACATTTTAGTCCTCATTCGTGTTGTTATTGTAGCTTGTTAGCTTTAACCCATTAGCTCGTTAGCAGTTGATTTGATAACTAAACTTAACCAAACACGCAGGACAACTTGGTTTAACTCGTAGTTGGGTAACTTTTAGCTAAACCAAGTTAACTCTTAGTTGGTTTAACTCTTAGTTCTTAACTCCATTTGTGAACTAGCTGGCTAACGAAGAAGAAATAACAGTTAGCTTACTAGCTAGATATTATATAGGAATTAAACGTTAATGTTATTAGTTATTTAAAAGAAACACCACTTTGCAAATAATAATGACAAATATCGTGGTGGATGCAACATCCAAACTGTTTTATTGCAACTGTTTTTTTTTTTCTTAAAGAAATTAGTAAACAGCTTCCCGGCTAAGCTAGGCTCATCTGCTAGTGCAGGCCCAAAAAGGTGCGTTCAGGATAGCGTGCTATTTTCGGTTAAATTAGATATTGTAAAGGTAACACTTATGAGGAGAAAAAGATTTACACTGATTTACGTTGCCTAAAGTGGATTTGTATAAGAGATTAAGTAGCAAGCTAACGTTAGCAACCGCTAAGAAAGCCAGAAAGTCGTTTTCTGGTGTGTTAGCAGGTTAAAAGTGTCATGGCTAGTTCAGCTCAGATAAGAAAACCGTTAACTTGGCTGTGTATCAAAAAAAAAAAAAAAACCGTTATAGTATCAAAGTTTACAAATCTGAGTTGTTTTAGATGTTTAAAACTTAGACCAAAAGATGATGTCAGTCCTTATAATTTTAAGGTTAGCAACTTTTCCAAGTTTTGTGTGTGTGTGTGTTCATGTTCATGAACACCAACAACGCTGTGTAACTGTAAATTTAGAGCCGTAGGTGAGTTTGAACGCACCATGTATCGATTATACAATGAAGAAAAGCTTATATAATATAATCTGATAGTGTATGTGTGTTCACTTGTATGTATAAATGTATGTATTTGTTTTAAACCATCATTAACATGCAGCAAATACTTTTAAAAATACAAAGTTTTTTTTGCTTGTAAATTGACATTCTTTGAAGAAGACCATGCATTTAGTACAGTTTATGTTTAGATGCACATTGACTCTGCTTTGAGCTTGTGGTGTGTTCACTTAAAGGGGCAATAGTCGATTATTTTTATTCCTTACTTGAACAAATAACGTGGACAAATATATGTAGAACATGGTTTTAAAAATGGATTAACTTGTGGCCTTAGGAAAACTGTCACTAAAGTCACTGAGAAAAGCCGGTTGGAAAGCAGACTTCCGGTCCGGAGTGTTTGTGTAGGTTTGGATGCGCGTCCTATCAGTCAGTTTATAGACGCTCTACTTTATGGGTCACCGTAGATCCTGGGTGGGCGGAGCTTCACGAACATGGGCGGATATCATTCAAACGTCGAACCCACCAATCCTAGAGACCTAGACTTAGACCTGCGTCCGAAATCGTGTACTGTCAGTACCTACGTTGATGCAGTACGTACTGATCAGTATCTGTATATACGTGTTCATCCGCCATGTTGGCATTGTCATGTGACCTACGACAAGTTTTTGCTATAACTACAAAAACTGAAAGAGCCTGCCAGATTAGTACAACCGTTTTTTTCTTGTTTAAACCTTCAGTAGTTTACTCAGGTGGTGTTAAACTAAGTACGGTTTAACCACGAGGAACAATGTCTAAAACCTATAGCACTTACACTTAAAAAGAGCGACGGTCATCTGGGTATTTCTCACCTAATGTTTTATGAAAACTGAGAATTCGGATATACTACTCCTTCGGCATACTGCTTTGTGCCTACAGTATTGTAGGGATATTCGGACGCAGCCCGTATCCATCTATCTATCTATCTATCTATCTATCTATCTATCTATCTATTTATTTATTTATTTATTTATTTAAATATAAAACACTATGCTTGCCTAATGCACCTTTAATGTTAATGTTTGTGTTAAGTATTGTTTTGATGGGCTTAGATCATTAATGTTAAGTAAAGTCTCACCAAACTGACCATGGTGTACGCATAGCCATGACACCAAAAATCACACACACCACATTTTAATGCAAACTGATTGTTTTTACCTTTTAGCATAAGCCCTAATTGTAGGTCACATGACCATGATGCGTATGCAGGCTATACGTGTGCCGGGAATTCAACAACGTACTGAAAACCCTTCTCTACTCTTATCTCTTCTAACACATCCCTTTAAACGTCATCTAGATTTTTATTTTAAACTCGGACAAGACTTGGTTTCGTTTGGCGACGATAGAAAAGAGAGAGCGCTCCCTGGAGTGCGTATATAGTGAAGAAAAAAAAAATAAAACCTCACTTTCCGCTATCAGACCTTTTAAATATCAGCCGATATCCGGTATTACTTCGAAACCAACATCCTCTGTTCGCGTGAACCGAGCTGACTGTCTGTAAGCTTGTGTTGCTAAGCTCAGATATGGAGGTAGATCCCTAGAAACTCACATCTCAATGTTGTAGCCATGTTGATTTGACGTCACTTGCTGAACTCGGACATGAGGAGACCTTCCTGAGTTTCCGAGCGCAGGGGGCGTTTTTTTTTTTTTTTTTTTTTCTTCTCCTAGTTGGAGGTCAAAAACGACAAGTTACGACATTTATGTCATTTGAATGCTGTTATAGGAAAAGAACCAAAGGCAGGGTGGTGTGATGAGGCCTGACATGACGCAAGGTCACTGTTACCGTCCCAAAGTTAACAAAAATCAACTCCTCCCGACCAATCAGGTTTGAGAATTCGACAGCACTATGATTTTAACCACTACGCCATGTTGCAGTTTTTCTGCTTTTATTAGTTTTATTGCATTGTGCTTTAAAATGACTTTTTCTTGATTAAAATTGAGCCTTTTTTTTTTTGTGCCCCAGAAGTGCTCATGATGTTTGGTGGACTTTTTTTTAAAGTATTTATTTAAATAAGTGTATCTCAGTTTATGCGTTAATAAAAAGAAGTTTACGTTTTAGTGTCATTTCCTTGTTACTTCAATCTGTTGTTGGTATGCAGAGCTCTGTGGAAAATGACCCAGCGGTCTCTGAAGAGCTTTCCGGATTAATAAATAGTCCATTTACAGACACACACACACACACACACACACACACACACAAGCTCAGATGGTCGTCTTGTTCTGTAAACACT